TCTAATTTGTTGGAATGAGTTCCAAAATATTGCTAATTATCAAATGATCTTTTATTTTATGCATACAATTACTTCAAGGTTCTAGATGAAGTGTTTCTAGATTTAAAAGCACTATGATCTATCATTAGTCTTAAAATTTTAGATACCTTCTATTCATATTAGTTGAAGCTTATAATTGTCATAATTAGTAATCAATTATTTATTTGTCTCCTCACATAGGTCACCCAAATGTTGTGCAAATGATTATGCAAATGATATGAGGCAACTTGCTAATGAAATTGCAAGTAAAAATTCCTGCAATTATGACATACCTATGTGGACGAAAGTTCTTACAAAAAAAAAGGTTAAATGTGAGTTTTGATGACTTATGCACCTTTACTATAGACTGGACGTATGCATTTTATATTTGTTATTAACAAATTTAATGAAATATTGATATAATTTAACTTTCGCCTTGAGGTTCATTATCTGAGTTTGCATGTTGCTAAATCAAGATTAAAAAATAATGTCAACATTAGTTTACCATCTTATAAGAACATTATGAATGTATAGTTCATCCAAAGTTCGAGTTTTAAATTATTCATTGATTTATTAATTATATCATATATAATCGGTTCATCATCACATTTGGACATTGTATCAATTTTCATGAGAAATTTAAATTTAGCTATGCTATCATACTCAGCTGTACTCTAACTCTAACTCTAACTCCAACATAGATCACTTGGAGGTTTAGGTTCATGAATATTATATGTTGTAGATATAGATTCAAATTGAACATCATCTATAAATTGAAATTTTAATGACAATTATATTATGCAGCTTCATCCTCAAATGAATATTTATAAGCTATTGTTTATTCAATTGGATCAATCTTAATCATATATGATTCTTGCATAGCCTATTTTTATATGCTTTAAATGAGGTTTTACTACATTTTTCTTAAGAATCATCATAGATGGAACAATACTAACATAATGCTAGTAGCATGCCTTAATTTACATGGATGAAAACAAATCCGATAATATTTTTTGTGAATTTTATTTTACTTCATTCTTAAACTCTCGCACTAGGCCTTTATTGATGAAAGTACTTGTACTAACATAGTTTAAAGGCTGATTAAGTGTACATACAAAAATGTGTAATTTTTACATAATATTTGCATACACTTGAATTTTTTTGTTTATAATGCAAAAACTGATTATGCAATTCATATGGATATTCATCAAATGTTAGATATTGCTCCTTATTTAAAAAGGTATTTAAGGCACCAATAAGCACCAAGAGGGCCTATGCAAGGCTCAGCCTTTTTAATCAAGGCGTATGCTTCAAAGCTTTGTACCTCGACAGGCATGAAGGATTATGTCTCAAGTTAACTCACTAAAAAACAAAATTTTAATTTTTATAATAGAAAATTTAAGATTTTAGGTTTAGAGTTTAGATCGATTTTGAGATAGAGGGTTTAAGGCTTTTGATTTTTTTATTAACTAATTTTTTTCTCTGTTTATTTTGTTTAGTTATTTTCTTTTCCTTATAAGTTCTTTCTTTTTTTTTTTAATTTTCTTTTGAATATAATTTATTTTCATTTTTTTTATTATGATTTTTTATTTTCTTATTATCTTTTTAACTGCTTTTTCTTTTCTTTTCTTTTTTAATTGGTTATTTTTTTTCTTTGAATATTTTATTTTTAACTTTCTTTGTTGAGGGCTTATATAGCATATTTATGAATTATCTTTAATTTTGAGTTTCCTTAATTTTTTAGTTTTGAGGTTTATACCTTGAGTTTATACCTTATCTCGATAAGATAAAATTTCATAGTTTTCGATTTTAGCATTTTAAATCTTAATATTTCTTTTCAGGCATATGTTTCATGCTAGCTCACATTGATTTTATTCCACTTGAAATGCTTCGTCAAAATACTTAGCATGTAACACTTTTGTTTCAACAAATCTTACTTGAAATCAAAGAAATGATAATTCACTAAAAAGTCTTCCAAATCATTTATCCATCTTTAAAATTTGTCAGAATCATTCACTCCACTGAATGTAGGAGTGTAGTTTGTGTCCTCATGATAATTATAATGTGTTTATCCAAAACCATAGTTTACTTGATTTTCGCATTTAATATGTCGTACAGTTAATTAACATGATGTTGCAATTATAAGCTCTGATGTCAATTCAACGAAAGAAAACTCTAGTGTAAAGCTTCCTAATTCAATTAATATGATGCATAACATGCTTTCATGCAACAAAATGTTGAGGATTCATATATTACTAGTTGTCAATCAAGACAACTCACTTTTTAGCACACAATAGTAGTCAATAAGCCCTTTTGTTTATGAAATGATTACATAAATGATAAATCTATTTTTTTTTTCAAAATTTTGGAAATAAATGAAATCAATGTACAAATGAATTAATTTTAGCAAAATTAGATCTGTTATATCAATTTTTAACTAAATTCATTAGTACTATATTATTCAATAACAAATTATATAGAAAAATAAAAAGGAATAAAACTACCAAATGATCACATCAGATTAATGAGAGGACATCCCTTGGAATAAGTTAATTACGTATGTGTCGGACTCAACTTGCACTCACAAAGTTGAAATTGCAAGAGAAATTTTATTTAGGCTAAAAGTTCTGAATTACATATCTCGTAGCAACTATTTATACACTCATCATCCTAAGCTAATAAATAAGTTTAACAAAGGAACAATATCAATTAAGTTTAAATTAACCACAATTTGAATCTTTTTAATTTCCCAAAGCACTTTGTAGTTGCAATCCTCACGTCAGTCCCACATAGGAACTAAATCTCCCAGCTTCACACTAGGCAAAACCATCACCAAACAAACAGATAAGTCTAATAGATAACCAAACCGCATATCTACGACGAACAATTATTACGTCCTCTGACCGGACGTAGAGCTACGTACGGCCGCCAATAACATGTCGTCACGTGCTCTTACTCTTTACCGTGCGGCCCGACGACTTGACCCGTACCTGAACTCGGGAATGATATGTTCGCGTATTGCGAGGTATTACTCGGTATTTGCTCGGTATTGCTAGGTATTGCTTGACAATAACGAGAAATACCGCTTTGTGAAGACCAATATCAAGCAATATTGAGTTGTACCGAGTTTTTTAGAAAAACTCGGTACAACTCAGTATTGTTCGGTATTGGTTATTGCCGAGCAAAATCGACCAATACCTAGAAATACCGAGCAATACCTAGCAAAATCGAGAAATACCGAGCCATCCTGGGTCCGTTCCGGGTCGGGTTGTCGGGGCGCGCGGTAAATAGTGAGAACGCGTGGCGCGATTCTACTGGCGGCCGAACGTAGAGCTACGTCCTGTGACCAAACCAAATAAAAGTTCATCTACGACAACCTTTATCCGTATATGTAATTATCCAATACTACATGCATAGGGACTTGCTTATGAACTGTTCAACACTAATCACCTGTATCTTTTTTTTACATTTTAAGGTTTTGATTATGGGGACAAATGAAAATTGTTGGTATGATATATCATATAAGAAATAGTTTAAAGTGATCATTTGATTAAATTTTATGTTTATATGATTACATATCAAGCATAAAAGAAGCAGTTATTAATGCATAAAATAAACTTATGCTTTGTTTTGTTTTTACTATTAAATTAATTATATCTATTTCATATGCAAAGTTAGTCATTCACAAGAAGTTTGAATGATATACACTACTATAAAGACCTTTTGTTTGGAGTGATGTTGAGGTTTTTGAATGTTAAGTTTGCTAGATGTATTTAAAATTCAAAGTTAAGTTTGAACATTAAATTTCATTCAATTTAAGTAAGTTTTTATCTCCAATATATGGTGTATGGTACAACACTTTTGGTTCTTAGGTGCAGCATATTAACATGTGTGATGAACGATCAATGCATGATGAAAGTCCAATCAATTTTAGAATCAGAAAAAGTGTGGTTCTTATCTAGTTTGATAGGTGAGAGCTCAATGATAAAGATTTGTTGAAAAAAGTACTGTTACTTAAATTGAATCAAACAAAGGTTTATGTTTTGCATTTGGAGTAATGCCAAAAATCACTGAGAAAATAAGATTTTGACATCATTAAGTTTGCATCTTTCATCAATTTTTTATGTTTGATATATTGGTAAATAAATATTGAAATTTTTTGAATTTAATCCGTAACCATTTCCTTTTAATGTAGATCAAATTCAAAAGTTTGACTTTTAATTTTAGTTAGATTATCAGATTCTAATTTTTATGTTTACACACTCATGCATGCATTTATGTATTATTTATACACTTGACTTTATTCTGAGTTGTCTTGGGTTTCTAACTAATCTTGCCAAACTTTACATTTGCTCAAAGTTTTGTTTGACACAAGGACTTGGCTAAAAATATACTCATCCCTACATTATATTTTAGCTAATTATTTGTAAGATGGAATGTTGGTTTTTATTGGAGCTGATATGCAACGTTGAGCATATGCCACACACACACCAAATCCTCCAATTGCCCCACCCGCTCTTGCACAGAAAACCTGCTTCTAGAACCACTGAGGCTTCAGAGCAGGTAGACCATTGTTGCACCAAAATTGACCATTTATCAGTTACTCGATTGTAGCCTGCGAATGAATTGCTGCCTATGCAGCAAGAGCTTTAAGTTGTGGTTTGCCTGCATAAATGTTTTCTCCCTATATGTGTTTCTGCAAAATAATTACTGCCGCCCTAAACAGAACATGAATCCGTTATTTGTAAGTCAAGTGCTTCCGCTGAAGAATTGCTAAGTTAGGTTGCTTTAATTATTTGTCCACCCATTCATGTATTTGTAATTATACTTCTAAATGTCTTTATTTCCTAAACTCTTCATTATTATTTAGAATTCTGGTTTTTTACCTTCTCTACAAGGGGTAAAAAGTTCTTTAATTTAGTTAATCTACCTTTTATTTCCTTTCTCATATTTGATACTGTATGATTTCTTTCTTTCTGTAGGTGAATCAAAATCTGTATACGTTGGAAATCTTCCTGCAAGCATATCTACTTCTGACCTTGAGCAAGAGTTCAGGAACTTTGGTAGAATCAAACCTGACGGTGTTACTATCAGAAGCCGGAAGGTGACTTGCGTGGAACTTTAATTCATCAGTAATCATCATCATCTCTTGTATCTGCTTAGGCTGGTTTTATGAATCTTCATTTTACATTCATTCTTGTGAAGTGCTATATTGAGGTGTTTACTCTTTTGCACGGTTATTTTTGCATAATTTCTAGTTATGTATCTTTGACATATTTTTCATTCTTTTTAATCTTTCCTTATAAATTTTGTCTCAACTTACTGGTGCATGTGCTGCCCTATATTTTCCTTGGTACATCTTTCTTTGGAAATCAGCGTAGTTATTATATACCTAATTTATTTTTGTTATTTGTAGGAGGCTGGTGTTTTTTATGCCTTCATAGAATTTGAAGATGCTGTTGGCGTTCAGAATGCATTGATGGTTCGTTAAGTTTTGCTTATTTTCCCAAATCAGATTATCTTTGAAATAACTTTGCAAAATACTTATGCAATTTTTTTCTTTTCATTGAACATTACTACAAGTTTGCTGTAAACAATTTGACAGAAGCTTAATTTATTTATTTTGGAAATTGGTTTTATATGGCATTAAATTTTAGAAGCTATATGTTCCCTTCTTTGGTTGGCATGCAGCTTATGGATAGCGAGAAATTAATTTAGCTTGCTTTTCGAGTGTATGTGCATGTTTGTCTGCATATTTAATTGCTTATGATAGCTATTTGTTTTTTAGATTATTGATGCTGTCAACTTTTCTAGTTTTTTAATCGGTTATTGTTATCTGTAGGCTACTCCAGTGCTGCTGAATGGCAGGATCATTCATGTAGAGGGCAGGAGACCTAACAGTGGTGCTTCACGAGGCGGAAGTAAGTTCCTTAATTTCATAGAATTTATTCCTAGCTTTCTTTTCAGTGAAATGGCTTTCTCGATATCCGTTAGGACTCCATGTCCATGTAGTTTAGTACTAGCATTCAAGATTTAAGTTTCCCAGTAGTTTAGTACTAGCATTCAAGATTTAAGTTTCCCAGAAAGATTAGATTTCTAGCTGTTTAAGATTCTTGCTATTCATACCTGTGATTTAGGCCTCGTTTGGGACGACTTTCTTATTGCTTCTTAAAACAAATTTTTAGTATAAAAGTTAAAAATTTTGTACTAAACAGTTGTTTTAAGAAGCAGCAAAAAAGCTGCCTCAAACGAAGTCTTAATTTCTTGCTGAGCTAAATGCTTATCATCTTTTGGTTGACTTGCGGGTTGTATAATTTTAACATTGCAAATATGATCTGATTATTCTAATGAATCTCTGGGGTTATCCTGTATTTCATTACAATTGTTGCTTATTTCTTCATTTTGTCTTTATTTTGCATTCACAATTATGAGCAAGGTCTAATATCTTTTGGATTAATATTTAGCTAGATTAGTTTGGGATTCTAAAGATTCATTAATAGTGCTGTTTTGAGTGTGGGCCTGCAAAATATGGCCTTCTTTGTCATATAGATGTAACAATTTAGAAGTAAATTACTATCATACAACCCATTTCAGTGTCATTTCAGCCTAATATGTTTACTAATCAAAGTTCTATTTTTTCCCTCCTATGCTTATAGGAAGGGGTAGAGGAAGGGGAGGCTACCCTACAGAGGCCTCAAGGGGTCGGTTTGGTGGCCGATCATTTGGCAGCAGGGGCAGTGGCCTAGACAATGACAGAGAATATAGTAATCGGCCAAGAGCCAATGGGTATATCCAACGACTGCCACGCCAAGAAAGAGGCATATTGGGAAGTACTTCCCCAACAACAATGGCAGTCAATCCTAAGCTTTAGCTTCTTCAGATCTTCACTTAAATGGCTAAATGGCACAGCTGCTGCTGACAATCATGTAGCCCAGGCATCAAGGAGGCTACTAGCATTCAGGCTTCATTTGGGATGGCTTTCATTCTGCTTCTTAAAATAGATTTCTAGTACAAAATTTAAAAAATTGGTACTAAAAAGCTGCTTTAAGAAGCAGAAAGAAAATCGTCCCAAACGAAGCCTCAGTATCTCCACCGACGTTTTGGGCCTTGTTTTGGTTGGTTATTTTTTCTACAATTATTTCCTCCATGCTGCTGGTTGTATTTTTCATCTATATCTAAGACAGAGTTGTCGGTTTGAGTTCTGATCGTTTGTAATTGTGCGGTTCTGAGCCATTTTTCTTTCTTTTGTTCATCTTTACCATTTTGATTATTGTGGTAGCAGCTGCTGCCCAGTGTTAAAGAATGTTTTTTTTCTTAAATTATCTACAGTGAATGAATGATAATATATTTAAATCGCCAGTAAGTCATTCGTTGTTTTCTCTTTAATTTTTCTTCAATGCTTGTTCTTCTCAAGTTCACACTTTGTTGTAATACCCTGTTTCTCTTTTCCTTCATTGACATTAGTAGCAATAGTAAGTGGGGGATCAATTGTAAACTAATTACTCACGTTTTTAACTTGCCTCAAAGAATTAGCTGCTATTTGCACTTTGAAAATATGTTATTCTAACACTCCTCGTGGACAAATTTGTAATAATATTATGTTATATTGACATAAAAAAATATTGATTGGGTTTGTTACTGTGGCTTTTGGCCCCCCATCCCTCAGTATTGCGAAGCTCAACATAACAATGTTTTAGTTTTTGAATTACTCCATTGCTGCTCTCCAAACAACAAGAGGAAAGCTAACCACAGAATAGAATAAAGATGGAAGAAAGAGTTTCAGGACAAGTCTATACATAAATATGGCATGAAAGCCCTGTGAACTTTGCAATTGGGCAACTAAAAAATTCTACCTCTGAGAAAGTGCACTCATTCTCTGAGGTTTTTCTTCTTCCCATCACTGTTGAAACTTCTTTGGCAATACAGAACAAATTCTCTGTTTTCTCTGCACATGACCTTAAAGCAGAAGCCTGATTATGCTGGAACTCCCCAAAAATCTAATGATACGAGTGTCCTGCACGATCAAAGTCTGCATAACGGACAACAAACCCAAAACTAAATGTAGAATTAACAAGCCCAAGTGCAAAATTCAAAGACCATCAGAGCCAAAATGCCAAAAAGACGGTCACCTCATCCCCTAAAACCCAATGATCCTCACTAGCATGGTAACCTGGAACAATCGTGGGTTTAACGACTCAGACAAGGTTGTGTTTCAAAAAAAAATTTAGTAAGTATAGGTTAGATTTTTTTTCATTTTGCAAAAAATTTGTTAAGCCAAAATATTTCTTCTTTTAGCTTATGACCCTTGGTTTTTAGCTTCTCATAGATTTTTTCATAATGAAACCTCTTACTATAATGTCTCTTTCTCTTGCCGTAGTCGAATATGAGTAAAATGGAATGTTGATAAAGTTAGTTTTTAGCCCCTTTATACTTCTAATCAGTTGATATTTGACATCTGTTACTTTTATGTTGTATATGCCTTCAATTCCTTTGATGAAAACAACTTTTGTGGAAGCAATTTGCTAAATTAGTTGGGAACATTTCTCTTTTGTTGGGCTGTTATAGGTTATTTTAATTGCTGTAGATTTATTAGTCATGAAAAAGCTAGATGAAACTTACTTCGTAATAGCAAGCTAGGAGACTTTGATAATCTAATTTATAATATTGGTGACAATGATTTATCTTCTATTGTCCATTTTTCTCTTGGTATAACTAGAGAATTGATAACCCCATCCACATTAAAGTTGACAGAATTCTTGTAAATGGTGCTTGGATGAATTCTTTCTCTTGCTCATTTTACAAAATTAATAATCCTAAGTGTTCCAACTACTCTCTCATGACACTATTATTAGCTTCTATGACCAATAAAAAGCATAAATTCATGTATAAAAATTATTGGTCCAAAATTCCAGATTTTTGGGAGGCTCTTCTCATGTCTTTCACCCTGCCCCCTAATGCTACAAAAAAGAGTTAGAGATGCTATTTCTATGCAAAATGCTTGCCTTTCACAAATTCAAAACAATCCTCTAGATCAATACTCCTACTTTGAAAGATATTGATATTAAACTTTCTAATTGTCACTCTTCTTGGTCTGATTGGACATTGCAACGTGTTAAAGTTAGATGGCTCACAAATCGGAAATATGATCTCAAGTTTCTTTACTCTAGAATCCAACTAGACATAAAGGAAATTTGATTAAGGAGATTTGCACTCCTACTGGTGTTTTTACTACTCCTTAGGATATTAATTATGTTATTGTTCAACATTTTAGAAGTATGTTCAATTCTTCTCACTCTATCCCAACTGATACCTCTCCCATTCCTGCTAGAAACATTATTCTCACTCACCTTATATTCTCATTAATGACTCATGTTACTCATGAATAAATTAAAGGCATCTTTTTTTCTTCTTCTTCACGTTCTGCACCTAGACCTTATGGGAACTTTTCTATTTTATAAATCTTCTTGGAATACTTTTGGTAAACATCAATGATGCAGTGAAGACATTTTTCTCCACTTGTAGAATGCCCAGGCAAGCAAAAGCAACTATATAGCCTTAATTCCCAAACATGCTCATGCTGCTAACATTACTAATTTCAAGCCCATCTCTTTATGCTATATTTTTTATAAAATTGTGGCAAAGATTCTTGTAAATAGGATGAAACTAGCTATGCCTTTTATCATTAACCTGTGCAAAGTTGGGTTCATTCACAATAGAATCATCATTGATAACATACTTCTTACTTCTAATATGTTGGGGGATTTTAATATGGATGCTCATAACAAGTTTTTCTGTGTAAAATTTAATATTCATAAAGCCTTTGACATAGTATCCAAGGAATTTGTACTTAATCATTTTTCTATTAAAGGTGTTCCTAATATTTTTGTTTCATAGGTTAAAGGTTGCATTATGGATGTTCAATTCTCTGTATGTAATAATGGTGCTCTTGAAGGCTTTTTCAATACAACATTTGGTCTTAGGCAAGGTTATCCCCTATCTCTTTATATATTTAGTATTATTATTGATGCTCTCTCAATTTTCCTTGATGAGGCTACTAACAATAAAAGCTTTGATGGGATATTGGATTAACAGCACCATCTTACCTAAATCTTGTTGTAAATTTATTGAATGGATTTGCTCTATATTTTTATATTTTGGTAATGTGGAACTAAAGAATATGCATATTATTTCTTGGAAAGACGCTCGTGGGCCTAGGCCCTCCAGCGACCTTGGGATTCCTATTATTGATTCTATTTATCATGCTTATGGTTGCTCTCTTATCTGGCTGTTTTTTTATGCTGGTGGTCTGTTGATTGATTGGTGGAAGCATAAATATTATTCATTCTGAAAACCTGCCTTTTCTAAATTTTCTTCTTATTGAAAATTCTTATGCACTATTTTCAATATGATTAAACATTTCATTTCTTTAAGAGTTCATTCAAGCAGCTCTTCATCCCTCCTTTGGGATCTCTGGTGTAAAGAAATTTTGTTAAAAGAGCTTATGGATTGTAATTCCTTAGGGAATAGACTGAAAAATATGACTTCCTTGCCAACTTATAGCATTATTTCTAATTATAGTTGGAGTATTCCATCCTACTTTCCTACTCATATTTTTTTGGAGATATCGTTTGTGGCTATATCTCCCACCAATAATGAAAGCATGTGGCTTTGTTAAGAGAAACCCTCTTTTAGTGCATTTGTTATCCCATATTTTTATGAATACCCTTAGGTTGCTTTGCATAAATTCGCGTGTCACAAATGTTTTGCACTTAGGTTCTCTTCTTATGTTTGGCTGGCTATTATGAAAGGTTTCAAAACTTCAGATTTGCTTATTTACCGTGGCATTCTTGTTTCTAGTTTTTGCATTTTATGTAAAGATTGCCATGAATTTCACACTCATATCTTTTTTTAATGTGATTTACATTTTATATTCTTAAGCTATCTTGTCTTAGGTAGGAGAGTTTTTTTATGCGGCCTAACATGCACCCAAATTTTTACAATATAATGGATATGAATACTAGTAATCTCACTAAAAAAATTTATCACTTATCTAATTGTGCTATTATTTACTATATTTGGAGAGCTAGGAATTATAAAAAGTTTGGTTGTAATCTTGATTGCCAAGCAACAATTACTACAAAATAAAAAATATTCGTTCTTTTCAAGGTTTCTAAATGGAAGAATTTTGATGTTATTAAACATTTGGTCTCTTGATCCTGGATGTTTTGGTTGGTGTTGTTCTTACAATAATTTGGGGCATTTCTCTCCCTACTTGGTTCATTGGAATTCGATTATGTCAGCTTCTTCTATTATGCTATTGGATTTTCTTGACAGTTGCTCTTTATGTTTCTTGGGGTGTTTTTGAAGGAAGAGGATGAATGCTTGTGTTTTCTAGTTTCCCCTTGGACGATTGCTATTAGCTACCTTATTATCCATGGACATTCTATTGACCCAAGGGCTAGCTAAAGCTAATTACTCTCATAGGTCATTGGGACATGTCCCAATTAGCTCACCCAACCACCTTAATGTCCATGGACATTCTAAGTGATATAACACCAAGATAAAATCTTAAGAAAAGCTCACAAATTAAGACTATGTATCAAGATTTTGATCATTCATTATGCACTACTCCCCATAAAAACCTATGGATTACTCATAATGTCACAACTCAACACAGCACAAATCTTACATCTAATAGGTCACATCGTGTCGGATGCATAGCCAACAATGCCCAAGATCTTATTTGGAAGAAGTTCTTCTATATATAATAGCTACATAGACCCACTAATAATTTTAAAAAATAAAAATAAAATCATCTATTTTTATTTACCTTAAATCGTAGGATCATATATTTATAACAATCATGGACTCAATCACTATCATGATCAATATAACACTCCATGACTGCAAAAATGACCAATAGAAAATATACCTTTAATCTTTAACCTTCACTTCTATCTACTCAACTTTTTCTCGCTTTTCTTGCACTGAAATGCTTTGCCCAGTAGCTTATTCAACACCTAACCCATTTTTCAATATAACTACATATTTAAATAAACATGTGATTTAATTATTATAATAGAGATAAAAAGGCAGGTCATAATAGTAGAATAAAGCATTTTATAATTATGAAACTTATACATTGTAACTCAAAATAGTGATACTAGATGCAATGGTTTAATATATTATACATTGTACTGTATTGCATTTAGTGTCAACATAAACTCAGTATAAAGATGTGTCAGATTTTAATAATAAAATAATTGAAATAAACTAAACTTTCATAACACCACATCGGCCTTCCATGTACATTACATCAAATTATACCAATCTCTTCGGGTCTTTATACCTCAGAAATATGTCATCACATCACATCAATCCCCTAG